TGAATATTGATATCCCTAGTTTAATATTAGTTATTATTCAGGTGTAGGAATAATTTTCCAAATTAATGAAAAAAAACAAAAAACAATAAACTACTGGTTCATTTTTTCTGTTTTTTTTCTTTCTTTCTTTGGAGTGCAAGTTGACTCACTCAAAAATAAGTACTAGAGAAGAAGAAATCCAAGGAGGTGACTTCTGAGTCCACACCTGCTGACAGGAGAGAGTGAAGAACATGGTGTCATGGCAGTGAATGTTAAACTCTCTACATTCTACCGAACACATGGAATGAATAAGGCTGTGAATGTGTGTGTGTGTGTGTGTGTGTGTGTGCCCACGGCCTCTGATCAACCATGTGAACTATCCCTTTAATTTCCTCCCAGTGCCTCACATCAGAGAATCACCTGCGAGGCACTTTGGTGTGTCGTTAACAGCTAATAGTTGGTTGTTGACATTGTGAGAACACATCGTTTCGTCCTCATCTCTTCTTTTTGAGTAATCTTTCTGATTTACAGCCTCGTCTTCACAATTCATGACTTTCCGAGGTTTTGGGCAGATCATCACGAGCTTCAGTCGGGGTTTAAACACAGTCTTTGATTTAAAAATTATTTGTTTCCTTTAACGATTTTGTGAAAGAGTAAGTGTTTTTAAACAAAACTGTGGCTGTTGTGGGCCTTGGTACTAATGAAATCTTTGAACTAAAGATGACTGATTCTATCGGCCAGCTGATATTAGCCTAATTAAGTAATTTCGGTAAATAGTTATAATTTTTCCCGCCAATAATGAAAACACGATAGCACAATGGGTTTCGCCCAGATGATGTGACCTTAAGATACTATTGAAGTGAAAGTGAATCATTGTCATTGTTCACAGCACTTTAACCCAAACCACTGCCTATGTCAGTATCAGTTGATATCAGAATCCAAACCTAAGTGTTTGGAAAATATCTGCAAAATGTTAACATCAGACATTCCTACTTCAAACTTTATCGTACTCCGTCAGGTCAACCTAACTCTCATCCAACTATAATGTGGTGATGGAACTATATTTCAGGATGACAATCAAAGCCAACATGCGGATCAAAGCTGTGATCTCAGATGAGATGATAGGACTACACCGAAACATGACGACCACTGGGGGAGGGGGTCTAATCCAGAAGATGCCTGAAGACGATGGATTGAAGAAGAACCTGGAAGGATGAGCCCACTTAAGGGGTTTAGCGCTGCATCATGGAACCCCAACTGCCTTCACTCACAAGCAAGACAAACACACACCCTGCTCTGAGATTATGTGTTGCTTGTATTTTCCCCCAGATTATTCCGCAAACAGGACATTTGTTTGGAACTTGACACAGATGAGTGCAGCACAGAGTACTTCACACAGAGTGGGAAACTCTTCCAGGGAAGAATCTTCTAACGCAACCGTTCAATACGGCGAGTATACGTTGATCAAAGAGCTCGGCAAAGGCTCTTTTGGCGTTGTGCACAAGTGCATCCGACAGGACACCAAGGAGGTGGTGGCAGTGAAAATCATCCAGAAGGAATACGCCTGGATGGGCAAAAGAGAGGTCAAGATCCTCAACAGTCTGAAGAAATGTTGCCACGGCACCAAGAACATGGTCAAACTGAACCGGCATCGCATGCACAACGGGGAGGTTTTACTGGAATTTGAAATGTTGGACTTGACGATCAGCCAGTTCATGACCAGGTACTACAGGTCACTGCATCTGTCTGAAATCCAGTCCATCGCACAGCAGATGCTGGAGGCCCTGGACACTCTTAAGAGCATAAGTGTAGCCCACTCGGACCTAAAGCCAGACAACATCATGTTCATCGACCACAAGCTACAACCCATGAAGGTGAAACTGATTGATTTTGGTCTGGCTACACACGTCTCCGGTCTGCCTCACGGCAATAAGATTCAGGCTCATAACTACCGGGCTCCCGAGGTCACGCTTGGTCTTCACCTGAACGAAGCCGTGGACATGTGGTCTCTGGGCTGCATTCTGGCCTTCATATACCTCCGCTCTCATCTGTTTTCGCGAGGGGCTTGTGACCATCAGATAACGCAGGAGATTATTCAAATGCTCGGTCCACTTGAGAACCAAATGCTGGAGAATGGAATCTGCACAGCAAACGTCTTTTACAAAGACGGGAATTGCTGGAAGTTGTCTGATCCATGTACGTGTAAGGAACGTAAACACCACACCAGGAAAAGGTTTTCCAGTCTTGATGACATTACACTGACTCGTCCAAACACTGCAGAGTGTGAGGACACGCAGGCTTTTGTCAGCCTCCTTAAAGAGATGCTGATATTGGATCCGGACAAAAGAGTGACACCTAGCCAAGCCCTCAAACATCCGTTTCTCACCACCAAACACTTTCCTAGCGACCCTTCCCTCAGTCTGAACGACCCTTCGCCCAGCTTCACGGCAGAGAAACGCAGTAGCCTAAAACTCTCCAAATTTGCAGAAATTGATAAAGGTTCATCAACTCGTTATGATGGTGTAGACAGAAGTAAGCAAGCAGCAGCTTACTCGGATAGGAGAACTGGTACAAATTCACCTGTGGTTAAAGAAAAAAACAAAAGACGCTTCCTGCAGAGGATTCGGGGCTTTTTGTCAAGAACGTTTGGCAAACTGCGCAAGCCGAAGGATTATGACTACAACAGAGAGTTGGGAAAATCTCAGAGTGTTGGACGGTGGTAGTGACTCTTGAAGAAACACTGATTCGATGCATAAAGGATCTTCTACGGAGAGATGAATCTTAGATTCTTCTCAAAGTTGTTGTTGTCCCTTCCTGTGTCTGGGCCATGCTAGGTAAAGTTTCACCATGTATTTTATATATACATATACATATCAAGTACTGATGTGTACTGTGTAAACACAGCAAATGCTGTAGTCCTTCTGCTTTATGTCATCATTGTAGTCAGAGTTAGGGCTACACCAAGGTGACACCCTGGACACACTCTGTCTCATCACAGGTCACATGCGAACAATCACACACACGTTCACAAACAAAACTCCCACAATCACAGGCAGAACATGAAAACTCCATACAGGAAGACTGGGATTTGAACCAGCAAACGCCCAAAATTCACCAAGGGGAAATTGTTTGGGTGGAGCACTGAACTCTACAACTTTCAAAGCCATTCCATAAAAATGCGATGTGTGTCACATCGAGCTTGGCCAGGTGATGAGTCCAATTTCTTTTCTCATTTGAAATCCTACTCTGATACTGGAGCGACGTTAAAGAAGACAGTGGTTCAAGTTGAGTTTCTGCTGAAGTCAGGACTTTTCTGACACCTTCTCATAAACGCCGAGTTTTCTTCCAAATGATTTGGCTGTGTGCGATATGGCAGCGAGGACCCAGATCAAGAGAAATGAACATGACGTTTGAGTTAAATTCCTCAGAGGAGTCTGTCAAACTGAGACTTGTAGCAGGGTAGATCCCCCACGCATATTCTGGAGGGAGGGGCTGCTGGGAAATGTGCCAGGTAGAGGCACCAGCGGCTTCTCAGGAGGTCTTGGAGACGACGCCCAGGCAGAGGAGAGCTGGCGTGCTGGCTGTTGTCCTGTCCTCATTTGTGTTCTAGCAATCCTGGGTTTAACTCCTTGAACCAATGAAGATCCTGGATTTGAACATGCCGTTCAGGAACCCAACTTATTTGGGGCCCATATTAAAACCTACAGCCACGGTCAGTTGACTATTACTTTCCAGCTGACACTGAACTTACGTGGGTCACTCATGCACGCGCTGGCTGGGGACCTGCTTCTGTCATTGCGTCCGATTGAATGTCGCCACCTAGCCTTGACATGATGACAACATCGTGGCCAAAATGTACTCGATGACATCATTTCACTCAATTACCATGTCTTTGTTTCCAGAACGTTTTTTTTTTTTAAACTCCAATCAACAACACTCAACACATGTTCGACGATGTGGTTTAAAGCGTCCTGAAGATGACGCATGTGTGTGTTAGTCTTCGTAATTCTCTCGTTGGGAGGACCAGGGTTGTAGACCTTCGAAGTGTGGACGTTTTATGAAACACCTTCCGGCAGCTGTTTAGCTTTAAGCTAACTCTGTGATTGGACTCGGAATACAGGCGAGGGAGTGTCTGACGTCAATATAAGAAGTGTGACTAAAGTGTGTGTGTGTGTGTGCGTGCATTAAACAGGGAGGAGTGTGATCTGTATCAACGGTGACATCACCGCGTCTTGATGTTGTTGACATCAGAGGTCGTGACGATGCTCTGTTGTGTTTCTGTCGTGTGCGTGTGTTCAGTTGGTGCTTCGAGACGCCACCATGGCAGTGGGTGGTGGTGGCAGAGGTGGCAGCGGAGTGGGTGGAGACACTTCAGTCAGGTGACGTCAACTTTGAGACATTAGTTCCATGATGCACCTCGTTCAACACTGGCGTTTTCCTCGGCTGAGTCACACTGCTCCAAAACTCGACATCGACTGTACGACTCCAACGCGTCACCAAATGAAACGATGTCACTCATCATTTTACATATTCGAGGCCTCAAGTGACATGTCGGACTCTACAGTGTGCTAGCTTCAAGCTTCGGTAGTGACTTGACGTTTATTTTTCCCTTTGACTTGAAAGTTGTTTTTTTCTGTCTTTTTGTTTTCAGTATTTTTCTTTGGAGACCGTTATTGGCTACTCTCTTATCTTTTGGTTCAATGACCAACTTTACTGCTACCTGTCTTTTGACTTTTTTGTCGAACCTGTTTATTTTTTTCTCCAATCCCACTGACTCGACCGTCTCCCGTCGCTCCCGTATCCTCCGTCACTATCATTTTCACCCTGTCTCACCGTCTTTTGAGTAGACTTTACAGCGAAGAGCACATCATTTTTTCCCACGGTGAGGTCACAGACGAGTGTCAGAGCAAAGACGCCTCAGAATTTCTCGCATGCAATTTTTGCTGTCTCGTCTTCGGCGTTGCTGTTGCATCCTCTGAGCTGGCCTCCGCTGGTCATGTTGGCGTTGGCACCGCCTGGAGGGTGTGGCAGCCAACACACACGCAGAGAAAAGGGTACTGCTCTGACACACTTCTCTGTGGGGAATCTGACATTTACACAGATTGTTTGCAGGTTGAGAGATTTTCTGTTGTCTGAGCGGATTCCAAAGATGTCTGAGCTGGATCCTGGTTTTTATTTGTTACAGTGGGGTTTTTTTTTCAGGTTCATTTTTAAAATGTCTGAAAAGTTATTAATGAAGCAGATTTGTTTTTTATGTCTGGGAAACCGAGTAAAGTGGGAGCTTTATAGTCCTGCAGGACGGTAATGAGCTGCTGTTCTGAGCTCCTTCAATGTCACTGTGCATTAAAACCACCTTGATCTCCGAGTCCACAATAATGCATACCAGAGCCGTGGCAACATCTCAAGGCTGCGTCTAATGATGCCGTGCACACACATGAACAGACACAGAGTCTGCAGTCATTCAGCCTAATGTTTAAATTGCTTATCGAAAAAAGGACCCACAGAACGACTGCACATTTTCCTTCTCCCAACACTTCACATTGGTCCCTGAATAACTACTGATATTTGTGATTCACAAGTAACCGATTTTAAACAGTTTCCTTATTTAAAAAGACCTTAAGCAAGACTTTAAATTACAATAATTTAAATACATTAAAACGACTCCAGGAAATCTTAAAAAAATCCTCAAAATATTTGTAAGAAAGAAAATAAACAGACAAGAAGCAAATCAATAAATCAAACATTTTTAAAGTGATTCCCAACAACTGTAGCAAAAGTACACCCACAAAACATCAAAACTAAAAAAGAAAAATATATTGTAATGTTAGATACAAAAACCTCTAATCAACACCTTCCTGCACCCATCTGTCTCTCGGAGTGCACAGCTCTGTGTCTTGAAACCCCCATACACATAACATTGATAAATTCTAGACAGATTACTATCTATTGTGTTTACTGACCATTACTCTGGGTAGCATCACTGCCAATAGCAACTACGATGGACGAAAAAGAAAAAGTACGATGGACCAATCATTCTTTTGGCAACTAAAAACTGAGTCGAGGAAGTAAACCAAAACTCTCTGGATTTAGTTGTTCAAAACTGCCTCACTCCATATGGAAAAACATCATAAATAAAGGTTATACAGCATACAGCTGGAGAGCAGTAGTGGGCTACAGCTCCCCAAGTGGTTAGATGGCGGTAATGCACCTAACATGTAAAGTATTGTTATCGGATCAAATACTATTAAGTGCAGTTATTTCATTACAAAAGTACTTATTGATGCAATTTTTTAAAACTCACATGCTGGCCTGCTTTTGGCTTCATGAGTTGTTTTGATAATGTTGTAATTGTAATTTAAATAATGTACATGACTTAGTGAAAGTGATTTCATTGGTCAGACTGGCTCTGTGGCAGGTCATCAAGGTGAGAATACTTCAAAACACCAGGGAGACGGCCTTTCGTTACCAACAAAAGCTCAGAATTGATGTTTTTGTCCTGCAGCTCCTGACCCACTGACCTCTGCTGACGTGACCCATCTTTTGTCACCGTCAGTTACCGCTACGTGTTGACGTCATACAGTGACACACTTTAAATTCTTTCTTCAAATGTGTGCGGTTGTGAAATGTCAGGATGTTTGAAGTCAGTGTGAGTTTTAGATAAAAGTTTTAAAAGAGTCGCTCTGAGGTCAGACACCAGGACAAAGACGTACACTATCTGCGACCGCAGCTCAGGTGTGACGTAAAAACGAGGTCAGCGACTGCTGACGTGTCAACCACAGAAGGCGACTGTGTTGATAAATACAGAGAGAATTGAATGTAGTTCTGAGAAAATTCTAAAAGTAAGTCTTAAAGATTGGACTTAAGATCAAGAAAGGTTATTTAAAAAAACAAAACATTTCATCAACTTTTATAGACAGATACCGTCTTCTATTGACACACATTGATGCATAACTAATGATTTGATTAGGACAACTTATCGGAAGTGTTACTGTGGTTCAACTCTACCTTATTTACCATCGACAGCATAAACTTTTTAATATATCATGTTAAGAAACTCAGCAGCATGGACTTTTAAAGCTTCCACAGGCCACACAAAATGTATTATCGGGCCGCATTTGGGCCACAGGCCTTGGTTTGACACATGATCTACAGTTTAATGTTTTTTCTGCCACAGAAATGGGATGGGCAAACATCAATCCCAGCAACAATCAGTAGAGGGCACTGTTACACACCGACTTTCTATTCAAAATTACTCCTTGTTCAGTTCATTAGTGCCACCTACTGAGCAATTTTTTCAACAAATGTGGACTGGCCAATGAGAAAAGAGAAAAATTACATACAGAGGGCAGAGTACCTGCTGGTTACCGCCGCACCGTACACTTTCTCTGTCTCTGGGAAATGTTTATCGTTTTGTTTTTTTGAATAAACTTCCCTCATACTATACCCTTCAAATATCAGAAATATCAGTTCTGGTCAACAGGGAAGTATCTACACCTTGGAGTCCGAGGGCTGTTGTGTGCCAGCGTGTACCTGTGTGTGTTTGTCGTGTACCTGTGTGTGTTTGTTGTGTACCTGTGCGTGTTTATGCACCAGCCCAGTCTGTGGCAGGTGCTACAGTCTGTGGATTCCCGTCAGTTGGAGGAGTTGGAGCTGCTGTGGTTTTAGCTGTGACCACCGTCAGACCACCATCAGACCACCATCAGACCACCGTCAGACCACCGTCAGTTTACTGTGGCTCTGAGGCCGAGTGGGTCTCGGCAGTGAAGGAACCTTCAGTCTGAACACGCTCATCAGGGATGACAGGTTAATGAGCAGGAGAGAGGAGACTCACAGAGCCGTCCAGAGCTTTTACTGAGTGCCCTGTGTGTGTGTGTGTGTGTGTGTGAGTGTGAGTGTGTGTGTGTGATGTTGTTCTGTCTTGCCCTGCAGTCACACGGTGGTCCAGTCGTGTCTAGTCCAGTCCAGCTGTGAACTGCTCTCACTTTTACTTTTTTACATTTCGGAACTTTTCCTCCATGGATCGTGCCAGACTTATAATCCCACACTTTATAGTCATTCCGTCAGTGACATTCAGTCCAGACTGGAGGCCGAGACCTGGGGCAGATACTGCAGGACCTGAAGACTTTCTTCAGCTATTCTCATGCCGCTGACATTTACTGCCACTCTTAAATACATATAATTTACCATTTGCACCACACACGACTCCCATCTTCTGCCAGATAGAAATATTTATTACAGAATAACTTGAAAATATTTCACATTACTTTATTAAAGGACTGTACTCGGTTATGACTTCAAAGCCAAGTACTACTGGACTGCTCAAGTAACAGACACTAAAAGTAGCAGTTGTGGAAGCCAGAAACTGGTAACATGGAGCTAATAAGGAAAATAAACACGGAATCGTTACCGTCGTTACTGCCGATCGGTAAAGATCGTTGAAGGATCAAGACATTTTTCAGACTTTCTTCTGTCAGTATCAAAGTCTGAATGACCTGTTGTTTTGAAACATTGTCAGATTATCTTTGAATGACAAAAGTAAAGGGATATGAGTGGATTATTTTTGAATGAAGTGAATTAGTAAAAGTACTACGTCCCAGTACCACATGACCTGTGGACTGGCACCGGTCCCCGCACCTGGGATTGCAGACCCCTGCTCTAATGGACATTAAAAGAAATGCAGCTGTCTAAGGCGTGACCTCGCTGACCTTAATCCTTGCTTAATTTGCTGGTGTTTTTTTTTTTTAAACAAACATATTTTAAAGTTGACAAAGTGATATTTTCAAACCTTGGTGCTGAGACATTATCTTAGGAATACGTCAAAAACAAACATGATGATTTCACTGCAGGTGTGTGTGTGTGTGTGTGTGAGGGTGTGTGAGGGTGCAGGACACTGGAGGTGATTGACCGACAGTGTGCAGCTGTAGCTTAGCGTCATGACAGTGAGGCCTGACGAATGAAGTGACGGTTCTTTTGTCGTTGTTTTTTGACCATCAGTCATAGTGACAGGTGTGAGTGTGTCCATTCACCACACACAGGAGTCTGTGTGTGGAGCTGAGGTGGACAAACACAAACACAGAGACCAGAGCGGCAGCATCAGCCAGGTCTGCTCAACACTCCAGACCTCACACACACACACACACACACACACACACACAAACTGGGTTTTGTGTTATTTGGCCACTTTTTAAAGTCGTGATACTTTCTGTAGCCCCTTACCATAACCCTGACTGATACAAATATATGTTCAATCCTAATCCTCAGCCTAACTTTAATCCTGCCTCCAAAGTAAATCTTCAACCTTCAAAATACTCTCTCACTTGGTGTAGACCTGCAGGATGTTCAGAAAATCAGTATTTCTACACTGTCCTCTTGAGTATAGCAATACCAGGAACATGAACACTACGGCAGCTGAGCCGTAGGTGGCAGTAATACACCTGAAGAAGAAGGTTGTCATGTAGAAGAAGATGGATAAGATGCATGACATCAAACTACATTTATTTTAATGGTAGAACTATATTGATATTTGATAAGAATGTGATTAATTAAATTATTATTAAGACAATTATAGTCTTTATTGTCATTGAACCTCTGTTTTTAACCCATCACCACAGTGAACAGTGGGCAGCTGTAAGCGCCCAGGGAGCAGTGAGTGGGGACGGTGCCATGCTCAGAGTACCTCCATGGTAACTTGGCAGATGGTGGATTCGAACCTAAAAGCCCCCAGA